AGTGAACTAAATGTCATTTTCATGTTACTGTAGCATGTAATGGCGTGATTTACATTTACACATTTAGTTGATGCTTTTATACAAAGAGACTTACAAAAGAGGAACAGCAATTTGTCAAAAAGCAAACAATATTTGTAATATAAAATGCCAGGCTTATTTGACATCTAGATTAATAAGCAAGCAGAGGAGAAATGCTCAAAAGAAAATATTTTTTTTCTTTTGTGAGTGTGATCACACATAGTATATTACACATTAATTCATTTCTTTTTCCAGATTTGCCTTTAGAGTGTTTGTTTGCTTCAGACATAAGCGTACCACCGAGAACTTTGTAAGTTTAAACAATAAGCATGTTGTCAGGCATTACCAGATAATTGTATAACAACACATAGTCATAATAGCAGTCTCATATCACACTGTGTGCTGAGGTACAATTAGCATAATGCACTTCACAAAGTCATTATCATGAACTAAGGTTTATGGTCTGTTACAGTTTCAACAAAAAATATTAAGGTGAAAAAAATATACACTTATGTTTACTAACTGAAATTCATCCTCAAGGTAACTGTGTGAGCCAAATAGTATAGACTCTTCAAAATAAAGGTTCTTTATTAGCATCTATGGTTCCATAAATAACCTTTAACAATACACTCTTAAAAATATAGGTTTCTAAAGGGAGTTTTCACATCAATAACCATTTTTTGGGTTCACCAAAGAACTTTTCAGCAAACAGTTCTTAACAGAACCATTTATTTCTTAGTGCGAAGAGCATTTTAATAATTTAAAGAACCTTTTTTCCACTATAAAGAACCATTTGTGCAATGGAAAGTTTCCGTGGATGTTAAAGGTTCTTCATGGAACCATCAATCCCAACAAATAACCTTTATTTTTAATAGTGTGGAACCTTTTTATTGCACAAAAGGTTTTTATAGTGGAAAATATTCTTCAGGTTTTTAAAATGTTATTCAAACTAAGAAAAGAAGGGTTCTTCTAAGAACTGTTCACTGAAAGGTTTATTGAGGAACCAAAATTCATCTATGGCATCACTGCGAAAACCCCTTTTGGAAGCTTTATTTTTTAAAGTGTAGAGCCATTTTCTTCCTATTATCCTTTCTTTTGCAATCACAGCATTTACCTAAGCAGACATTTAGCTAGAAGCAAAATAATCAAGTTCAACCCACTCTTTTGGGTCATTTAGGTTGACCCAAAATTTAGGTTGTAAAGCTTTGCAATGTTAGCAAATGTTTTAACTTCAGTTGCTGGAGACCAGGGGACAATAGTGAACAGTACCATGGCAACAGAGGCCATATGCCAGTAGTGCTCCGTCCCACCCCCTCCCCACTGTTCACAATACAATTCTGCACAACCAAACCCCACACCATGCAGTCCTAAATCGTTTCTAGGCATCCTGAATATATACTGCCAAATCACACAGATTACTATAGTGCTTTACCCCAGTGTACACCAGAACTTCTTGGAAATATTATACAAAATCTTGACTCTTGATATATTACTGGTTGTTGTGTGACATACGTTTTGCTTAAACTCTGGGACTAAACAGAGAAAGCAAACACAACACACTTAACAAGATAAGTCGTCTGGCATCATGCCTATATCTGCCTGTGTAGTTATTAACGGATCTATTCATTCATTTACTTTTACAGTACCACTTAATCAGTGTCAAGGACCGCTTCCCGTCCACAACCGGTGGCCCCGTGTGCTGCTCATTTGGGAGTCTCACATTTCCTGACTGAGGGGCAATCATTTCATTAATGGTTTGTTTCTGAGGCTTAGTTTGCCACAAATGCCATTCCCCAGGCAGACAGGCTTTGCAGGAACAGCCTCCTGAGGAGACAATGATGAGGGGTGGCGAGCAGCACACCTGTTAATTCCCCTTGAGACTCCATGTATCCACTTGCAATGCGACCCTGTGCTATGCAGCAGTCATGAGGAAACCATAAACAAGGGGAGCTCCGGCATAATCGATACTGCTGGTTGACGTCAACTGGCCCACTGGTAACTTCCCTGTTGTTTTGACTGCTGCATGTGGTTTAGTAAAAAAAAAAAAAAAAAAAGATTTACTGTTACAGGTTTGTCTTTTTTTTACCATACAATTTCTATGCATAATTTAAACAGATGTAGAAATGTGCAATCTTTTTGCATTTGAGTGACATTTTAAAAATGACAAGTGAAAAGAGTGTAATAGCTTAAAAAAAACTATCTATACAACAAGTATGCAAGTTTTTTCATTAACTCCTGGTAGAATAAAAGTTGTGCTCGGTTGCCATCTTGTGGTGATAGAAGATAAGTGCTAGTTTTTTTGTTGTCGTTGTTGTTGTTTGTTTGTTTGTTTGTTTGTTTGGCTTTAGAATAAGAGTTTTCAAACTGGGGTCCAGAGAAAAGTCTAGACAAAAACGAAATTACTTATTTACTTATTTATTGAAAAATAATATAAATTATAATATATAATATAAATAAATAATATATCTAACATTACTACTGTGAGTAGGAAAAAAGTATATATTTTCCTAATTTATTTTACACAAATTTATGACATTTGTTTACAGCATAAATAGTTTAAATATGAAAATATTTAGCTGCCTTTTAAAATTTAGGATGGGGTCACTTGCACAAGGATGATGATATTTAGGGGTCCGCCGTGGCATCTAAAAATTGAAAACCCCAGTCTTAGAACATACTATATTTGTGAGAAAACAAACAAACAAAAATGTGTGTAGCTCATTAAATAAATTATGTTTGACACCATCTTTGGTTTGGTCAGATTTTCATCATACAATTTACATTACTATATTACCCCTTTAGAGTTACAAAATAATAAATGTTAAATTCTAACTTTAGTAATTTCGTACTATGTTATTTAAGTAGCATTCTAGTTTAATGCATTGACTAGTGTTCACATAAAATGTGATAAAGCATTGTGGTAAAGTATTGTGATAATGAATATAAAGAATGTGATAAAATCTTGTTTTTTAGTAAACAAACTGTTCAGTATGTTCACAAATATTTTTAAATAATCAATCTTTATTTCCTTGCAATATACAGTAGCAAAATACGAATAATATTGTTCATTTTAGCATATTGGAATACATTGGTGAAATTGTTTATTGACAACAGAGCATGCGCACATTCTGTGACGCGAGTTAATGTGGCGGTCACGCTGTTCATTCTAAACATTAATTTGTATTTAATGCCTCCAGATCTCTGGAGTTGTGTGAAGTCCCTTCCTGCTTCAAACACTCCACCATCATCCCCGTTCCAAAGAAACCCAAGATAACAGGACTTAACGACTACAGACCTGTGGCACTAACGTCTGTCGTCATGAAGTCGTTCGAAAAACTGGTTCTGGCTTATCTGAAGGACATCACTGGACCCTTACTGGACCCCCTGCAGTTTGCTTACCGAGCAAACAGGTCCTTGGATGATGCAGTCAACATGGGACTGCACTTCATCCTGCAGCATCTGGACAAAACAGGGACTTATGTGAGGATCCTGTTTATGGACCATCATTCCAACACTCCTCCAGACCAAACTAACCCAGCTCTCTGTCCCTAGCTCTATCTGTCAGTGGATCACCAGCTTTCTGACAGGCAACAGCTAGTGAGACTGGGGAAATTCATGTCAAACAGCCGCTCCACCAACACTGGTGCCCCTCAGGGATGTGTTCTCTCCCCACTGCTCTTCTCCCTGTACACCAACGACTGCACCTCTAAAGACCCCTCTGTCAAGCTCCTGAAGTTTGCAGA